TAATATCATGAGAGGTTCCCTATTTCTAAAAACTAAACTGGCTCTTTATTAAGAGGACTATTTACAGAGGGGCTGCAACTGCAGCTAGCATTCCAGCCATGTACCTACAGACTGACTTCCTGACTGCAGCTCCAAACTTTTCTCTTCTGCAGCCTGCGATCTTCCCTCCAAATTCCATGCAGCTAGCTACAAAATTGTGAAAACCCAATAAGCTTTAATAAGGTCCTGCTAAAAGCAGATATGGGCAGAGGAGTCAGCATTCAAATATGGGTCAGCTTTAGAATAGGGCCAAAATTTTTAAACTCGGGAGCTAAAAGTTGGTTTCATGTACAATTGACTTGGGCCCAATTTATATACAAGTGTCTAAAGTCATCTGTTATTCCTGTTTTATTAGATTTTAGCTATCCTCTTTGATCTCCTGTAATATCATTTTTTCTGGTATAAAAATACTGGTATGGTTGACTGAGGATTTGTATCCATACAGATTATTTTGTTTTCCTCATTCAGACTTTTCACTGGTTAGATTCTGGGCCATACTTTAGGGAAAGAACCGTGTTTTTAAGCTTCTCACATTGGTATAAAGTCACTTTGAGTTCTTAGTTGTGTCTGTTATTTAATTTCTCAGTCTGCCACCTTGTTACTTGTCCAGAATGAGTATTCTATTAAAGCTGGCTATTTTTGTTTAACAACAGTGGATTCAAACTGAATAGCATTGTATCATGCCTCTTTGTTCACTGGAGTTATCAGTGGTGTCAGCATAGTTCTGGGAATAGTAATAGTAATTAACTGCCACACTCTAAGGAAGACATACCTTTCAGGCTGGTGGGATATGCCAAGTCAGCACCTCTGGGTGCTGTGCAGGAAACAACAATGCAGATTGAACTTAAAGCTAAGAATGTATATCAAAAAAGAAAGAGGAGAGAAAGGAGGCCTCTGAGAAAAAAATAGATCTTGTGAGTTTTTGATTCCTGCAAACAGAAGTCTTAATTCTGGGAATAAATAAATTACAGAATGGGGTTCAGTAACAGCTTCCCCATGTCAGCCTGCTATTGTTCCCCAAATTCAAAATAAAAATATGGTGGGGGCTTTAAATGAAGACAAAAGTCAGTGACTATTTTATCCAAACTTGCTTGCCAGATTGGAAATACCATTTAATTCTACTGACACTACAATGGCATACATTTCTTGGTCACATGACATTTATGAAAATAAGTGAGCAAGGGAATTGCCTGGAATCAAAGGTACTTAGAGAGGTGCCATACACAATCCAAGGTTTCTGACATCTCTCTCTCTCTCAATTCACTTCAGTCTTTACCTGCAATCTTACTACTATTTCAATCCTGGGTCTCTACTGAGCATATGTTAACAAATGTTCTGGATTTATTTATTTGGACAGAAGCCAATTAAATCTCCAGTGAGATTCTCTGAATTTCCTTTTGTGTCCTAAATTGTGAATAAACTTTTATGGTAAAATCCTGGCTCCACTGAAGTCAGTTGGAGTATTGCCATTGATTTCAATGGAACCAGGATTTTGCCCTTAGGCTTCACAGTTGATAAGCTAGTGCATTAGCTTACTACATCATATGGCCCCATCCATCTTATTTGAAAACATGAAGGCAAAACATAAATTTAAGATTCTAGCATCCTCAAAATCTTTCCCTGCATTTCTAGAGGCATCATCTTTTTCTGCATTGCAAGTCACTGTCCAAGATATCCCCTATGTTTGTCCAACTGATATCACAGTAAGTGAGTCACTGGGATGAATTTGAATCATACTAGCCAACATTTTCTACTCCCTCATATCTTGGCCTTTTGAGAACTTTAATATTCACCAAGACTCAGCAGTAAATCAAATGGCAGCTGTAATGAATATTGTTAACTATCTGACTGCATTTCTGCATAAAATACTGTTAACTGTCTGACTGCATTTCATAAAACTTTCAATGTCCAATCCTACGTCTTGTGAAAAACCTGAAACAGGTTTCTTCTGAGAATGTTTTTCTTTTCTTTTCTTTTTCCGAAGTCTGGGTCTAAAAGTCAGATGGGATTCTTTCTAGGTTATGACTAGAGCTGGTCAAAACTTTTCATTTAAAACTTGTTTTCAATAAAAAGTGGACTTTTCTGAAACAGAAAACGGTCACAAAAAAGCTTTTTGGTTTTAGATTTTTTCTGTGTTTCGTTAAAAACAACATTTTCAAAACATTACTTTTTAGATTTTGGGGTCCCCTTCTTTTCCCTTTTTGCCACTGAATGCAATAGAATGGATGTCTTGGCTTGGGGTTTCCTCTGCCATACACATGCACTCAAGCTTTCCCAAAGCCTCTACTTTGAACAGAGTGGCAAAACAAAAAAACAAACAAATTCTGTAATTTTGCCACTTTTCAAGAGGTTTTATAAAGTTAGAGTAGTAAAAGGAAAACTAAAGACATTTTAGGGGTCAGGAGGGAAGGACGGAAACCCTGGATCTGATTCATTTTATTGCACTGTAGCAAAGAGAAGGCAAAAAGGAGGCAAAGGAGGAAAATGAAAAATTTCAAACGCCCCAGATGTTGTTGCATTTGGAACTCTGAATGTTGTTTTTGTTTTTTCAATTTTTTGAACTTTTAGGTGATTTTCCCCCCATTTTATGACCAACTCTAGTTATTACACCAGTCTGATTCTGCAAGACATACTCACCAGGGTAGTTCCCATTATCTTTCTGTGCATTTGTTGGATCCATGGACTTATTAGACAGGATGTTGTGTCCAGTTTGTTTTTCATCAACATTCTAGTGCTTTGGATTTGCCACTAAAAGGTCCAACTCTGTTGCCCTTGTTCGTGTTGAGTAGTATTCACAAGCATACACCCATTGAGTTCCCAAATACTACTAAAGGTGATGGAAAAGACTCTTCAATAGAACATTCATAGCACCATAAAGTTTATTAAAAATAGACTGGGCATCCTGCATAAGACTGATCCAGAGACTTGGTGTGTGTCAGACCATCCAGCCACTGTCAAGAAATTTTTAGGGTAACCACTTGTATTTGATTATGTGAATTCATTTTTAGGAATCTACTATAGCTTCAGGGTATGAGTCAATTCCCGATGCAAGTTTTTTTATATAACTTGTATTGCTTTCCTGGAAAAATGAGTTTTTGATGATACTTGGTAACGAGACACTACAAGATGCATTAGCTGTTTAAAACCAAATGACCCAGAGGCAGAGAGAGATAAAGGTTGAATGCTATTACTGCAGATATTTTTAAAATTACATTAAGTACCATGCCTTTTGCATAGTCAACCATCTTGAAGGGACAGCTGTAACAGAAAGCTGGGTTGGGCCTTATTTTATTCCAGAGGAGAGGTAGCAGCACAAGCAGCAGAATCTAAATACTTAGACAAAGAAATACAGGAGCTGGAATTTAAAAAAAAACTTTATTTTCCTTTAATATAGGTTGACTAGAGAAACATAGTCCTACAGAAAAAAACAACCCCCTGCCACCCGTGCATATGCGTGCACACACACACACACACACACAAACACACTAGGAAAAAATAATCATTTTAGTCTCTGGACTGCCCTGCGCAATGTGTGAGCCAGACTTGGCTATTAAAATGGATCTTCTATATAGGTGCCATATTAATTAAAGTGCAAGTGCCAGTGCTTTCTGTCTGTACCTCAATTCACCAACCTCTTAAAAGGTGTATACCTGGTGGAACAAATAGAATTTGACCCAGAGTGAAAAAGATCATGCTGCATAGACAGTCTTCTTAGGGATTTGTTCCTCATACATTGTAGGTGCTCTTGTTCTGATATTTGTACATCACTTTTAACTTCAGATTTCTGTGGAAACTGTAACACATGACACAGATATATTTGTGATTTCTTTCTGACCTGACTTCTCATGCTCTCTGCTCAGATGCTGATGTCTTAAACCTAAGGTTTCCTGCTGCAATTTCTTCATCTTTATCCCTATTTCTTTCCTTGTGTGAGCTTGTACTTGCTACCACTAATATCTTTATAATCAGAGTTCAAAGATCCCTGAACTTCTGCTGCTTCAGAGGTTCATTCAGATTGCTCATGGTCCTGAGTAATGTAGAACACTCAAACAATGCTCATGGTCTAGTAGTTTAATTCCTACCCGTTATTTAACCAAAAGCTGACTAAAAGTGGGACACAGCAGCTTTATGCAGATCCCAATATCAAGTGGAGATTTCTTTTCTTTATCACCTGATATAGAATTCATGATTCAACCAACCCAGAGGTTCTCTCTGCAGGCTGTATTTTATATGAAATGTGGAGTGTTAATCTACTCTGTCAATAATGTCTCACAAAGATGAATGAGTAGCTGAAGCAGCTAGGATGCGATATGCATTGCATTCTGTCTGGTGATGGTGGTCATGGGTTTTTTCTCTGTTCCACTTTGGGCTGTGCTTCCAAAGGCTGTTTTTGTTTTTTGTTTTGTTTCTTTGTTTTTGTTTAATGATAGATCCTGGAGCACTAACACTTCTATGCAGTAGATAAACTGCGTAGGGCAGCAAAGAACATATTGATAAAAATGTGGAATCATCTCTGAAAATGAGCCAGTGAAAAGACAAAATACTTGTACTCTATTTAAAACCCAAGCAAACAATTAATCTGTGACTCGATTTCTGTGCAAAAAGATGGAATTACATGCTTTTACAAGTCATTTTAATCACTTTTACAAGGCAAAAGTGTTCAGACCTGTTTGTTAAGCAAAGCCATTCAGTTTGGAAGTGGGAGGGAAAATCTGAATTTGCCAACCAGTTTATATTTTCTTTGATATCAAGCCTCGGGCATATTGCAGAGCTAATACAAACTGAGTTAGTACTACTAAGCTATAAAGAATTTTCTTTGTTAGAATACGGATACTAATTTGACCAAAGGTTTTACCATCATCTTTTCATGTAGCAGCAAACAGCCTCATTTATCATTAACTGAACAGTTTAAAAAATATGCTGACTGCTTGGAAACATGTAAATTTATGTTACGGCAACATCAGAAGAGTTTGGTAAAAATCTGTTGGCTCTAAATGTTCATGTGACTTATAAAATTGTCAAATGAATAATCACCCAGTTATGCAATAATATAACCATTTAAATGAGTGCACAGAGATTTATAGCAAACCTAATCGGTGTTCTGCTTCTAATTCATCAAGAGAAATGATCACATTTGCTCTGAGTGAGAAGGAAAATCTGCATCTGCAAATTTCCAGTGACTCGGTCTTTGTAAGTATATTACTCCCTTTTGTGTGCTCATTGTGCCCATAATATTAATTTGTAGGAAGCTTTAACTTAGCAGAGAAGAATATTTTAATAGGCTTGTTGTCTATTTTCTTTTTGGTGTGTGCTTGAGCGAGAGAGAGAAACATAGCTCAGAGAAGATGATGGGGGAATGTATAGGCTGGTAATTGCCAATATAGCAAGCATCTCTTTTAAGTCACTCCAGAATCCAGACTAAGGTCTATGCAATGCCCTAAATCTACACACATCACTCTTGTACATGTGCATAAAGGGCATTCTATATTTACTCGTACAGAGAACCATTTCACCTGAAGATGTCAAAACATTTTACATGAGGTAAGTTAGCTTCCCAAGATTCCTGTGGAGGTCGATGAGTACTGTTATGTCAGTTATCACTGTGTGTGTAATAGTACTACCTGATATGTCTATGCTGTAATTGGAAGTGTGACTGCAACATGTGTAGACATACCCTACCTAGCTGGAATAACAATAGGAGTGAAGCCACAGCATCACAGGTAACCTGTTCAAATACATATCTAAGGTCCTGGATGAACTTATATAGCCGTTGCTTCCACTTGTGCTGCTGCAGATTCACTGCTAAAATTATTTGAGCTAGCTAGATCAAGTCAGGTTGTGTAGCTCTACATCTCTGATTGCACTGTAGACATACCTATAGTCTTCCAAGCTCTCTCTTAGCATGCAAGAAATTTTTTTGTCTTGGGAAGACATGCCCTGTGCTGATGTTTAGTTTTGTTATGCAAGGTTCCGAGTAGAGGGAACTGTGCAAGCAGCAGGCAAATTTGCTCTCTGCTTTGCCCTCTGTTTAGAGTACGTTCTTGAGGCAGAATTGCTCCCTGGGTATTTGGCATTGGTATTGGGCTGAGATTCCTGGAGAAAAGTATTGATGTGCATGCTGTTTGACCATTGCCATTCTAGGACTGGTGTGCGTCTCTGAATAAAGCAAGTTACTTTTAGAGTATACCCAGACTCCACATCACCAATTTCTCCTCCACTGGCAAGCTATCCTGCAAGCAAGGCTCTGGACATTTGCTAACACATGGGGTATTTCCGTTTTAAAGACCAAATGATGCACAGAGGCATTCAGTAACTCCCCAGAAGTCCAACAGCAAGCACATAGCAGGATCTAGCTACAAAAATCTCTGCTCTTTCATCCCTTATTCCTCCCATTTGAAACCAATACACTCTTTAAATGTATGGAGTGTTATTCTTGCATGAGCACTTTGCTATTCAAAACTTGCATCATTATTGTTCTAATAAGAATCGTACTAATCTTTCATTGTGATCTGCTAGCATGGTCCCATGTGCCATATGGATGCTCCACGATGGAGTGCAGGAGTCTATGCTGGAGGGGCCTGATGTATATTATGGGCAAGACAAGCATTTATTTTTAATATATGAAATAGGTGAGATGCGGAGTTTTTCTTTGTGGGGAAGGGTCAAGTAGGTGGAAGGAATATTATAATGATGTAAACTTTGGATATAAAGTTCACACACATTTTTGTAGAGCTTGCATATGTTGTGTTGTATTTCCCAGGCCAGAACCTCCAGACTTCTGGAATCAGATTTCACTAACTGTTCAGTTGGCTGGCACGTGAAGCAGAACAGAACCACATGGAGTAGCCCAAGCCCATAGGCTGAACAGAAGTAGGATAGGGCCTCATTTCTACTATGGGCTGAACTGAAACACCATGTCTAAACACCCCTGAAGTTTGGGAGTGTTTAAATATAGATCTGAACTCTGTGGCTCATGACCATCTCTGCTTGCACTTAAATAACTATATTGGCTATGAAGTGTGGTCTGGAAGAAAAATATATAGTTTTGTCAGTAAATTCAGTACATGTGACTCAGAAGTGTTGTACCATGGGGCACAGATATTTATAGTGCCATTTTCACAGTCACTCTTCTGATTACAGCCCCACTTTAAGCAACGAAATTGTGTGAAGTGGTCACAATTTTTGTTTTGTGAGCAATTTTCACTTACTTTAGAAAGAAAAATATAAAAGCAGCAGACAAAGCAAAACCTCTGGATTTAGAAGTGGGAAAATCAGGGTCCCACAAATATAAGTATAATCACTTCAGCACCATCCCTCTAGCTATAGGATATTGTCTCCCTTCAGTGAGCAGATGTAACTCATTAACACTAATAGGAGTTACATTGGCAATATTCACTAAGTGTGCAAGGTCCATAGGGCAAACTGGCAGACTAAGGTTTCTTGTTAGTGCCTGCATTTGTCTAATTCACTGTATGACAATGTGCTGAACAAATGACAAAGTATGAAGAAGAGAGGCAGTGGTTCAAAAAAAATTAAGCTGAAAGTGGGCAGCCTGGTGTGTGTGCATTGTCTGAGGCTCAGGAACAGAGGAGCAACTAAAATAAACCTGAAAAGTGGGTAGTGACAATAAGCTATTGCTATTTGATGGCGTGTTGGTGGCCTGGGTGAAATTATTTAGCTGTGATGTCTCCATCCCGTTTCTAGCAAGCAGGTGTTGATCTTTCAAAGCCACCATTGCAACTGGGACCCTTTCTCAGGGGTCTCTTCAGAGAAGTCAAGTTTTGCACGGACACACAGGCTGGACTAACCTTTCCCGTCTAGATGTGGTCCCTCCAGGACTGGATTAAGGCAGATTGTGGAAAACAATGTTGAGGAAACTTGGACTGTCTGTGTCTCTGCTGCACCTGCTCTGGCTCCATATATCAGTTTGGTGCCTTTTGTGAACACAGAATTTAATTTTAAAATAATCAGATGTGTGTGCCAGCTATGTACAGAGCGGTGTGTTATTGCTGGTGGGTTGGGTGACTCATTACAGGAAAGTACACAAAGCCATTAAGAAAAACCTAATTTTTCTTCTCCCTGTTCTTTTATGTCCTGTCTTTTTCTCTCTCTCTCTCATTTTCATTTGTTAATTTTTTTCATTGACTTTAATTAGGCTCTCACTAGACTTCTGATCTTGCCTGCTACAGTGCATGAATTTCCATATCCCTTGCAGCTTTAATCTGGAGCCTTTAGAAGACAAGTTTGCTTTCCAACTGGGACTCAAAATGACTAGAGGTACAGGTATGATTAGGTATAATGTCCGAAATGTTTTATATTACTTGTTTCTAGGTTCCAAGGTCCATTTTCTTTGTATCTAGGGGCCTATTAAACACTCTTTGTATGTTCAGTGTTTCCTGTCCAGGATAAAAGAATATTGTTTAAATCAAAAGGATAGAGCTGTGTTTTGATAGCCACACACTGAACTTAGGGGTGGTGCGGCAGTACACCGTGCTGGTGGCTGAGGCCAGAGAGGCAGAATGCTCCTGTGGCACTGCGGGAGCAGCACGCTCAGGACTGACTTGTGTACCTTTTGTCAGGTGTAGTGCATGCTCCCCAACAGATCTAGTTTAGGGCTGGCAGCTGGTGTAAATATCCCTTAGAATGCCTTAGTAAGCTGGCCTGCTTACTTTCTATTCAGAGACTAATAGCAGAGTAATCACCCATAGGCATAAAGTTCCTATGCAAATCTATTTTATTTTTAAGGTAAAAGTACTACAGAGAAAACATAAAAACCTACATGCTGCTAATAAGATTACTAGACCCTAATATGGGCTCTGGCAGGAGCATTCTTTCAAAACCCAACCCAAGATGTTTCCTTGTGATTTCAAATTCATCACAGTTTCAGCTCAGAATAAGCATACAGTCTTATAGGGTCTCAGTAGACCCAGTCCTTCCTTCTAAATATAGGGGCCTCTATGGACCAGTAGGATCAGGTTTAAAACCAGATTGTTTATCCAAAAATCCTTTCTTTGCCTGCTAGTCCCCGAGAATCCAGTGGTATATGGACACCTCTCCAGGAGGTGGCTTCAAACTGGAGGAATTATATTAGTAACCCCCTCCTCCTAAAAGAGTAACACACAAATCTAAAAGACCATGTACACAATTTCATTTCTAGTACAATGGACCCTAAAGGTGTTATACCTAATTCAATTAAGTTTATCTTAATTCCCTAAGGTTTGTCCAGGATGTTGTCTATCTGTAACAGCAGAGAGGACAAAGGAAGGAAGAGGGATAAAGTGATAGGGTAGGTTGAAAGAAGGATGGGGGATGGATGTGGGTATGTGAAGTGAGGCTTAGGTGAAGACTGTGAGGAGGTTGGAGCAAAGAGACAATCAGCAAATGACAGGCAAAAAGTGCATTAAAAAAAAAGGTCAAAACTGCAAAATCATCTCATCATCAACTCATTAACTCCACCCTGAATATAAAGAAGGTAGGAGGGGCTTCTTGGATAGAGGGAAGTAGGGTCAAAGAGAGAGAAGAAAACATTAAGGACTGCCATGCTTAGGGAGGCACTTACGTGTTGGTGGTTGTTAGAGCAATTATTCAAGCAAAACCCCAGGAAGGGGGTAAGGTTAGATTCTGTTCAGAGAACAATGTGGGAATTCCATCTGCTCTTAGGTGCTAGTTGGTTAGGACATATCTTATTGGCTGCTGAGACTGTGGAGTTGTTAGATTACCCATTTCTAGTCAGCTATGTGATTTCCCCTCCCCCCCCCACTTTTTGGAGTTGTACCTTTGTACCGGAACAACCACTTTCTTTTGTTTTTAAATCTTTTCCACTGGCCAGTACAAATGTGTGACTAATGAGTGTCAACACTTTATTTCTTCAGTTCAACTCTTGTCTTGTATGTTCATTCATATTATATGGTGGCATTCGCAAGTACCATGGCATTTACACTTATGATGAATGAACCAATATTAACGCTCAGTTACATACCAACAAAACAATAGAGTAACAAAATTACAACCGTTGGCTTCAAATGAGAAAGATGGAGCCCCAATATGTGTTTGTTTTTTAAGCGCAGCTATTCAGCATTCTGATTACATGTTTATTACATCTTATTGTTGATATATAAGCAAAATAAAGGGAGCTCATTTGTTTAAGGGACAACAATTATCATTTCCTTGTTTTCACCCTCGAGCATATGAAAAAATCTTAACTGTGTTAATAAAACAGAGAAGTACATCCATTTAAATCAGTAAAATAGTTTACAGATTAGTCATTGCTACAGTTATAGATTTATATTAGCAGCGGTTACAAACCTTTTTCAAGAGTTTTATAAGTTTCCCATAAATGTTCACTTCAGGCTAAATTCTTGGTACATAAAATCTCAGCTAAGATTTTATATATATATATATATATATATATATATATATATATATATATA